CCTCTTGAAATCACCTTGGCATTTTCACTTCATTAAAGGTAATTGGGTGTGAAAATCAAGTCAAATTCGAGCGACTTCCCATTAAATCCGTCCTGCTCGAGCGGTAATATTGCCTCACATTCTTTTTTTTTTAAATCAACATAAAAATATCCTCGAGCTCCACTTTTGCGTCTCTCTCACTAATTACGAAGCAATTAAATTTACCGGCGACAGCCGCTAATTAAATCTCTCAAATACACACACCAATCCGACGCTCCACTTGTCGTCAGCCTCTTTTTATTGATCGATTTTGCTTCCTGAGCGGATCAGCACAAAATCATAACCCAGCAGCACTCGAAACGCCGAACATAATAATTACAATTACCGCGTCGGCGTGCTCCTGCATCTGAATTCATAACTGTACCGTCTGGCTGTGCACATGGAATTGAAGCAATATGGCTGGGCCACATTCGTTCAAGCGTGAAAAGCCTCTTGAGACTCTCTCATTATTATTCATTCGAATGCAGACATGCATTTTATGCTCATGCACGCTCATCAATCACATAATGATGTGCAGCAAGTTCAAGTATGTGGAGCGAGTGCGTGCGGCGTGTTTTCAAACTCATTATCGCGATTATTCAATCGGCGTGAGTGCTGTTGATTGATTATTTTTTTTAGCTGCATTCATAATTATCTTCGGTACGTAATTCCAAACACAATCACAACGTACAATCGGGGAAGCGTGAGTGGTATGTGATCCTTCCGCACTGTGCAGAGTGAAAGTGTTATGGATCCAAATATGGTATGTTATCACATGCTTCATTTTGTTTCCATCGGCATAAAATTTATAAATCCTATATGATCTTACCAATTCTTTCAAAATAATAATTAAGGCGGAAATTTAATTATTTTATAGGCGTGATATAAGAACTGGCTTCGTTCCAATAAACCAAAATAAATTTTTGGAACACCTAAATTTGTATTGGAGTTTCAAAACTAAGCGCTGTTTATAAAAATAACCTGCATATGACGAAAATGAATTTTTTTTTTTTAGATCTTCTGCTTTATTTATCAAACTTTTATTTTCTAAACAAATAAATTCTATTTTTTTTTTTACAGTTGATTCTTCTGACTTGTTTGGAGAAAAACAAATGAGTTGAAATAAATTCTATGCAAGAAAAGGAAAAACAATATTTGATAGAAATTTGGTTTTAAAATATGAATTAAGAATTTTAAATTTATTTAGTCAATTTTGAACGCAAATCGCTTATCAAGGAAATTTGAGAACACACAATTTTTATTTACTGATTTTTTTAATGTAAGAAATTCTCATAAAAATATAAAATTTTATTTTATTATATAACTGGAACTTACGGATTTAATTTTACGCTAAAAAGACGTGAATTTCCGTTGAAAAAGTTTCGTTGAAAATTCCATTATTGTTCAATAATTAATCTATTGAATTTTGAGCAAAAATTGACGACTTTTAACGTAAAATTTAATTTATTTACCCTAGAGCAACTTTTCTAAGTCATGCTGCTAATCCACCGTCCTTGCCAAAGTTTGGCGAAAATCCTTGAGGCCCACCTGTTCCAAAAATATCTCTCTTTCTTTACTCTAAAGTCGGCTGCTTTCTCGCGACGCACATAGGCGATTATCCGCACCAAATCCTTTATGTCGTTGCTTGGCACGAGAATGAAAATAAAAAAACGGATTGTCACTCAAGCAAACAAGAAAGGCGCACCAAATATACATATATTTTTGTTCCTGCTGCCGACCGAAAGTCGTTTCCGCGTTTACTGCGTGCATATATTTGCGATAGTGAATCCGCCTTTTTTCAGCCGAAAGCAAATAACAATTACGTACATTTGGAATATAATATTGTTCACGCTGCTTTACGCAATCGAGAAGCGCCCAAGGTGACACGCGCAGCTTGCGATTTGCAGAGAAAAATTCTTCACGCTGTGGGCTGAAAAAAAAAGTGAAAAATGATAACGCCCCGGACAATAATGCGCTGATAAAGGTTTCCAAAGTTAGGTAATGCTGATTTTGCCGTGGCAAAAATTCCGCTATTGTGACGCACGGAAAAAAATGGCAGACTAAAAGCAAAAAGGGTTCGCAGAAAATTGACAAATATCTGGGTATTATTTGGTGAACAATACGTTTATTTTTTAATTTTAACACCTAAGCTTATTTATAGAACACACTTATCTCTTCTTTGTTCGAAAACTAGTTCATGCTGCTTCAAAAATTGATTTATTTTAATAATTCTATTTAATGTTGGAAAACTCTGGAATAACAAAGGGCAATGTCCTCATAACGTGAAGAAATTATTCATGTTGATATTCATCCAACAAAAATTCATGCTATAGAAATCAGTAGATCACGCCATGCTTACAATTTATTAAATTTAATTATTAACTTATTTTTAATTTTTATAATAATTTAAGTTTTGATTAGGAGATTATTAATATTTAGAAATCCCTAAAAGGGACCAAGATTATTCCTCCGAATTGATTGTTTGCAGTATTTGCACCTCTACCTTTTATATTTACTTCCAGGAATATGTCTGGATTGTCTGGTCAAGTCTTACTATCTATTTATTTCTACAATACACTTCATCATTATTTATTCCACTGCTTTTATCAGCTATTCCTCTGTTCGATGGGATCGGAGAGATTGAACAGGTGGACAGCTTTTCACATGAGATTGAGAATGCATCTCTCTACTTTTGTTGTTGCAGCGCGACTACTTTTCGTATTATTTATTTATTTTTTGCCCGGCGCACTCGGCGTCCGTCTGTCGACCGGCGATGCGAGCTCGTTCGTCCGCTTCACGTTGCATTCGTGGAATTCCTACTTTTCCGTTCGGACGTGAGAGATAAAATTTAAATTCAACCTGCACACCGAGAGATGCACTTCTCGGAGAAATTAATTTTATCTCACGTCAAGTGCGCACCCACGCTCGTTCTTCTCTTTTGTTCTGGCGATTCGCATTCGTGTTTCAGAATTAAAGAAAAGGCAACAGGCTGCTCACGCAGACCTCGCGGCGCTTTTACACCGACTCGCGATTAGCCGCTTTGAAACGAGAAAGAGAGTTTGCTGGCGGATCTTGTGCAGCTCCAGATTATTTATTAATGGATGCATTCAGGCTCTATTTAATGGAGAGACGTGCACTCGGATTAAATAAATGCGGGTTCTGCAAGTGAACGGCCGCCAGAGTGTGTAATTTTCCTCACATAAAACATGTTTATGTGAAAACTGAGTGTAATTTGTCAAAGAAGTGCAGGTTAGTGGGAAAAATAGGGATTGCATAATTTAGTGATAAACTAATTTGCAAAATGTCGAAATAGAAAAGTAATGCAGTGATCTAAATAAAATTTTAAATATGTATTTATAACAATTTATATCTAAATGTTTTATTTAAGTATATTTTATATCATTTTACTATATTTAAATGATTTAAAATTCTTTTACAGCAATATTTTTTATATTTCAAAATGATATATTAAAATTGTATCCAATCAATTATAACAAAATGCTTTTATAAATAATTCATTTAATAACATAAATTCTTTGAACTGTTTGCAACAACATGGAACTTCATTCAAAAGTAAATAGTTCTGTTTGGAACGCATGCATATTATTTTCAAAATGAAAATATGGAAGAATATTTACCAATTACTACTTATTGCTTGTACATTAATTACAGATTAGAATAAATATTATTTAGAAATAAAACATTAAATAAATAATATAAAATCACTGGATCATATTATGATTTCCATTTTATTCCATTTCTGCATTGCAAAAGTTGATTTAAAATCTACAATTTACTCCACAACAAAGCGAAGAGCATTCTTCAGAATAATTATTTGATAATTTAGTAGTATCAATTTTTCTCAATTGAAGAGTTGCTTGGCTCAAAATTTGACGCTGAGGCAGCTAATTCCTCATTTAGCTCGCGATTTGTCTGCTGACACACATAATGCGCAAACGAATCCAATCAGCAAACGGCTCATGAGAATAAGAGCATAATGACAGACCATTAGCCGGCTGAATGGCTTTATACAAATTGAAAAGAAGGAGAAAGAGCGAATAATGTAACAATTCGGGATGAAAAGGAGAGAAAGAGAAACTCGGCGGCAGCTTCTGGTCCAGCTTTCTTCCTCTAATCTGCGCATTTCTGCGTCCGCCGACGGCTCCAGTTTCTTTTTCTTTTCTTTCTTTCGCATCTCGGAGGCACACATTTGATCAAAATCGTCATTCTCTTTTCTTTCCACTCGTGACAGGTGCTGGACCGAGGGATTCTGGCAACTGCTGAATCACGTCTTCTTAATTCTCTTGCATCAGCTGCGCGGTGCGTGCATATCCTTTAGCGGTAATCAAGTGACTGTATGGCCACCCGTCCGTGCAAAATCACCGACAATTTGATCAAATACGGTGCCCCGTTATGCAACCAATCAATGTGTGATTTGCGGAGAAAAGCATGTGGCCGACGTGCACTCACACACATTTAGGCAAATGTACAGCTACATTAACGCGCCAAATGACCTGCGAAAATTTTGTTGAAAATTTCACGAATCATCTTGCAGTTCGAATCTTAAATCTCTTAAATGTGAAAAAAAAATGCATTTTTCTATTTAAAGAAGTTTTGGGTTCTGTAATCCTGTTAAAAATTTATTTTCAAGGTAATAAATTAAATGATTAAAATGACCTTGACAATAACAGTTTATAATTAATTGAAAATATTCAAGTTTTACAATAATAAATAAGTTATTCTTTATTCTGCTGATCTTGAGCAAAAATTCACTGTCATTGTCTGTAATTTTCTTTCTTGAATGTTTCTTTATCATTGAAGATTAAGATTTAATAATAGCAAATTTAATAATAAAAAAAGTCTTGAAATTAATTCGTCTATAAATAAATGGTAGAAGTCAAGGTTTTACAATAAAAGATAAGCTGATCTTGAGCGAAAAACTCACTGTCATTGTCAATAATTTTCTCTCTTGATTGTTTCAGAACGTACTGATTAAGCGAGACGAGAAATCGGACGAAATGACTGCCGTTGTTGGAGACTTCGGCTTGGCTGCCAAGATTCCAGATTCAAGGTAATCGCCGCTGAAATAATTATCTCCGGTCGCATCTCTTATCACGTGGAAACTCCTTGAACTGTACTTTTGTTAATATCGCCATGGGAATTTTTCGCCTCGCCTTCGCATTGTCTTTTTTGCTCATTCCCCGTTCGTTCATTATTTGTGCAGTACGATTTTAATTGAAGAGTTATGAATAAATATTTGGCTTTGTCATGAAAACTAAAAATCGTGGAAACGGCCGTTGTGCAACCGGAATTTATCTATCAGACCATCTCTGGTGCAATTTTCCCACAAGTCAATTATCAATTAGAGAATTCTTCTCAACAATGAAATTACTCCATTCTGAATTCAAATTGAATAACTTTGCAAGGCCTTTAAAATCATTTCGAAACTTTGACTGACCGTGCAAAAAAAAATTAATTTTCAGGAGTAGGTACCGACTTCCCACGGTCGGCTCTCCCTACTGGATGTCGCCAGAGTGCCTGAAGGGCCAGTGGTACGACGAAAGGTCGGACATCTTCTCCTTTGGCATCATCCTGTGCGAATTGATCGCCCGAATCGAGGCAGACCCTGACGTCATGCCCCGGACTGAAAACTTTGGACTGGACTACATCGCTTTTGGCGAAATGTGCGGCCCGTGTCCACCAGACTTCCTAACCTTAGCTTTCTCCTGTTGTACTGTGAGTTGAAATTATTTTGATATTGTTGTCATTATTAAAAAATGTGTTGTTTTCAGTATGAACCAAAGAGTAGACCTCCGTTCACTGAGATTAACCAGAGGCTTGAGGTCCAAATCGAGTCCTACAAGAACTCGTTGAGGAGCACTGGCGAAACTCGAGAACTGAAGTCACCGTCCCCAGTCAAGAGAGTCAGTCCGATCAAGGAGAAGTCGCCAGGGGTGATGATCGGCAGCATAAACGCGCGCAGCGAAGAGGTCATTGCAGAAGTCAGGCCTGAGAGGCCAAGACTAAGCTTTAGAAAATGTGAGTGGTGCATGTTTGTTTTTCAAAAAATCGTGTGTATCATTTCTCACTTTTATCACTTATGAAATATTAATTAATGTGCAATTTTTAATTATATTGTTTCACTTCAGTTTTTCATTATATATTTGTGAGAAAAAGGTCAATTAATTTTTAATGAAAATATACTATATTATTTTCTTCGTTTATTTAAATGTACAACGGGAAATGTAAAAGGTACTTATTTTTATTGTTTCTTTGTTTTCTATGTCTGAGAGGAACAATTTCATTTGTCACAGAAAGGAGTTTTATGGCAATATTGGGCAATATTAATGATTCCAATTGGGCTAAAAGTATGGCAGGGTAACATGAAGCTCTTTTTTGCGATCACACCGAATCTTAGTAATTTGGATTGTGGTATTTTTATTTTATTAAAAATTTGCAATTATTTAATTTCAAAATATTGAATTAATCAGATAATAAATTAAAACAAGCTAAATTGAAAATCTCAAAATAAGTATACAATGTGTTAAAATTTGTTGTATTTTGTTAGGGAATATTTGGATCAAATAATAATTTTGTGTTTCTTATTCGGCAGTGAGCCATCGACGTTCCTTATCCGAAGAAGTGATACAGTCGCCCACACCAAGTGACAAGGCGCGCTGCCATTTCATGTTCCACCGCAACCTCAACTCGCCACCACCACCTGAGGTGACCGCCGACGGTCTCTTGCTAAACCCTCAGACGCTAGGGGAGTGCATGGGCCGCAAAGACCCTCACTACAAACCCTGTCAGGGCAGCATCAACCCCTTCACAGCCCTGTCTCAATTCAGGGGAGCAAAGAAGTTGCTCCCGGGGGCCAAAGAAGGTGGTGGTTGGGGAGAAGGAGACTTGTTTTCTTCCTGCTTTGAGCTGCCTTCGGCCTTTTTTGAGGCCCTGATGGCCAACGAGGACACGCGGACTGCGGCCGCTTCGACGCTCAAGAAGTCGAAAGTGGGCAAGCAGACTTTGTCACTACCGTCGTCCCCAACGGCCGTCAGGAGGAAGTTTTCTGCCTCGGACGGCAGACAGACCGTCGAGGCTGTCAATGGCCAGGCTGGCCTGTCGACGAGAAAAACGGCACCCTCGTTATTTGCCCATCCACTGTTTGCTGGTAAGAAAACTAGAAGTTGACTGAGTTGCAGAAAATTGCCACTTTGAACAAATTGAGTAAGAACGTTCAAGAAGTAAAATCAAAACTAATTTAATTACTACAGGTTATTGGAATTTGTTTTTTAAGATCCAAATTGGAAGAAATTTTTAATTTTTACGGTTCTCATGTAATATATTTTGATTGTTTTTACTGCTAAACAATAAATGACTCTGAAAAGCTGATTTTAAATTAAAGCACCATAAAAATTCCAATATATTCACATTTGGTGTTTTTATTTTTCAATGCAGGTGATTCGAATATTCATATATTTTTTCTTTTAAATTATAATCCTTGTTGAAAATAATCTAATTGTAAATTTTTTATCATTTAGGCCGTACGAGAAGTTCGCAGCAGCCAATGGGAAAGGGTTCGTTGCGCCAAACGCCAAACACCCCTTTGGCGCCACATCCACTCCTCATGCAGCAGCGCATCTGCAACTCGACTACCAACATTCTGGACGAGCGGTGTGTGGACACTGTGGGCTACCCCCTGCTAAGGAGAAGAGGCTCCTGTGAGTCCGGATTCTTCAGCGTGGGCGAGGGCACCAGCACCTCCGACCTCAGCCCCGATTGCCAGGCGTCCCTGGACGAGTCAGTGGCCGCAGCCCTCGGCTGTCTCTCCTCTTCTGGAGGACTGTCCGAGTGGCAAGACCTGCTGGACGAGTACTCGAGTCTGGGACTCGGGTCCAGCGCTGGCAGCAGCAGATCCCACTTTTCTGCAAAGCGGTCCTCGTCCATTTACACGGACAGCTCAGAGGACATTTCCAGTTTGGGAGGCAGTGACTTCAGCTGGGATGAGGTAAAAAAAACAGCCTTCAATTTTAATCAAATTTAATTTTCATTGCATGAGTAGAATAAATAGCAACAGAAAATTGAAACTGTCCCACACAAAATGTTTGATGTTTGAATAACATCAGTGAATTAAAATGGACCTTTCGTTTCTTACAATTTTTTATAGCTTTATGGAATTTTTACAAATTGAATAGAAACACGCAATTCATTTCAGGAGTGCATTCAAATAAAGAATTTAAAAGTGTATTTACTAAAACTTATACCGATGTAACTTTTGTGATCAGTTTATTTTCCAAAATATAGTTTAAAAAATATTATCTTGCAATTTAAATTTAAATTTTTCCATCAGAAATTTTTTAATAATCACTATAATTTCAATTTTTTAAATGGATACCAAAATCTTGATAAAAGATATACTTTTTTATCTTTTATCAAGATCTTTAAATCTGGAAAAAAAAAATAAAAAACGCTGAACAACCCCAAAACTATTCACTGCTCTGATAAATTCATGCATGAGCTATTCTATGCATGATGGGCATGATCATTTAATATTAAATTTAAGCTTTATAAATGAATAATATTTTGTTTTGTGTAGATAAAATTACATTTTTGTTATAAATTTTTTAAACTTAATTGTACTTAAGTATTTAAAAATGTATGTGTTAAATTTAAAAAAATTTAATTATAATTCTTCAGTAAGTTGGCATTATTTGTAAATTATCATTATTTAAATAACATAGATTTAAGGATTAGCACTGTTTACAATTAAAATAGATATTTATTTTTTTCTACCTTAATGTTTAAAAAAGATCACATTCAGATTTATGATCCGAAATGATCCTAACTTTTTTCCTTCCTCGGTTTAACTTACATAATAATTAAAATTAAATTATGGAAGTTAAAAATATCTTGAATGAAATTTGGAATATATTTAGAAAACTAGTTTTTCTTTGTGTATTTTTACATGTAATATTTTTTTTTATTTAATTCACTTTGTTGCATAAAATAATTTTCTACGACTCAAGTTTGTAGTAAATTTTAATAATTTGAATTTTAAATTTGCAGGTTACTCGCCCTACTGGTAACTTGAGCAGCCACCAGCACATCACCCGCATTGTGGAGTACTTTGAACGCAAGCAGAGGACGAATTGCTGCGACGAAGACCCTCGGAAGGAGTCTCTGGCAGCCATTTGGCTGGCCAGGCAGCACCGCGAGTTGCTGTTCCAGGCGGCGGCCAAAAAGTACCCTGGCAGCTCTGCCCAGGCCATTGAAGCCCTGTCACACCGGCTGGCGAAGGTTTCCAGGTCCCCCAAAATTGCCCAGCTGCAGAAATGCCTGGAGCGAATGCCCTTGGAGAAGCCGGTGGTGCGCAAGACCTCCATCCCCCAGAGACTGAGCATCTGCGAGGGCACCGTCCGCTCCAAACTGCAGCTCTTCGACAAGAAGACGAGCTAAACTTGCAAAAGTGTTCTGCTCCCCTTTCCAGCCTCGATCTGCAACGCCTAAAAATTCCCATTTCCAGTGCCAATATTTCACAACTCCACAGTTTCTGTAAAATTTCCAGAGCTCAAGGAAGCTGGTGCCAAACTTCTTCATGTCTTCGTCAGATTTGTAAACATTTTAAAACAATTTCCAATATGAGGCGTTGTGGGGTCTGAGCTTCGGAAAGGGTCGAGTCAGTTGTTGGTCATATCCTTGCTGGTCATGTTCCACCGTCTAATTATTATCAGAGTGATGAAATCCACCTGTCATTTGTAGCTTCAATTTGTCCACGAGTGTATTTGGTTGCAAAAGAGGAGCAGTAATTTTTTAACCTGGAACACTTACGCACTCACCGAGAGATGGACAGAAATATTTTTGTGCTTCCTCTGGAGGAGAATCAATTTTTCTAGTGTGATACAAGACACAATATGCCATAAAAAGCAAAAACGTATTGTGCGCTGACCCTCCTAACTAAATAATAATAATTGCTAAGCCAAATTTAGCCCTTAGGAAAGTTGGAAATTAAACAAACTTGCCCGCCCTCCTCCTTTCATATCCGGTAATCTGCAATAAGCCACATACTTGGAAACTAATTTCACTTGCTCAAAATGAAATTTCACGAAAACAAACATACACGTCAACAACTTATACTTGATGAAACAGATGACAGACACAGAACACCAGTTTTGAAACACTAATTCTAAGCCATGCTGGTTTTTAACCTGTTGATTCCAATTTGAATTTTCTTTGTCACTATAAAAATCCATTACTTTGGATCGATCAATGCATTTCACAGTATTTCTTCTCATTTTAGCTTTGATTTATAATCATCATCTTCAAAAAAAAAGTACAAAAGTAACTTTTATGCTCGTATTTTTCACGCGCCTCAGTATTTTGAAAATAAAATGCAGTGCTGTCGGGCTCATTTAAGCAATTTAAATTAAAAAGAAATTCTTCTCCGTCTAGTCAATGTTGAGAACGCGGTAATCCATTTAATAATAATAACTTGTATCCAAACAATGCAGTATATTATGATTTAATTAATTATTACTTCTTGGATTAATAATTATTTTGGTTACGGGCTTCAGATTCTATGCGGAAAAATGTGTGAGCCAGCTGCACGCTGGACTTGGAATAGACTAATTAGGATAATAATTATCGCCAATAATAGTTCACGATTAATTATAATTAATTGAAATTACAACATTCATGTCCTCCTTTCTAAAATTAACATGCAAAAATCTGTAGAGAAATTTGTAACTTTTATATCAACAAGATGTGTGAGTTTGAATGAGTGACTTTCCTTTGGATTAAAAAAAAATGTATACCACTAACTGTCTTTGTTCATTGATAAAAAAAGAAAACTCAATGCAATGCACTCTAGCAATTTGAAAACAGAATTCCATCCTGATAACGTAATATTGTATTTCTTGAAACCTACTAGATAAATTTTGACCGGACTGGTGAGAGGAAATAATGTATTTTTGGGAAAAAGTTGTATCCAAGTATACGGGTTAGAAAAGTTTTAATAAAAAATTTAACCCAGATAAATCTTGAGAGTATCAAGTGAATGAAATTGAGTCACTCATTGTCAGTCGCGGCCTTGAAGGTTCGCTTTTGTCAAGAATTATCTATGCAAGAGACTGATGCAAAAATGTTGTTTAGGGGGTTCGGCAGGAATCCTCGAGTTGAGGCAGGGTGTAGCAAATATTTCACTTCTGGCGGCTCAAAGTTGCAAAATTTATTTGTATTGGTTTTATATTGTTGGATCAAAGTAAAATTCCAAATGAATGTTTCAATTTTCTGCCCCGGAGAATGCACTGTGCGATTATTAAAAATACTATGGTGAATTTGAATACATTGTCATATTATTATAAAATATTCGATGATTATAAAGTGTAATGATTTGTCGATTATTATCAAATATGTTGTTTTAGAAATGAGGAAAATTAAATGTTACATGCAATTGTAATTGTCAAACATGTACGCTTGTCTGATTCATTTGCAACCTCTTGATTTCCATAATTATTTTTTCCTACTTCATATGGCTTTTGTAAAATCATTGAATGGCCTGCTTTTTCAAAAGGAGGGCTTGGAGGTATCCAAAATTTTGCAAGACGTTCTCATTAAAGAAAAAAAAATTATGTAGCGACTTTAAATTTTTCCTTAGCATTAAAAGTTAATTTTCTCCCTGATTTTTCTCTTGATATTTATTTTCAGCAAATGATTGCATTTTTTTTTATCTTCATAATCACCAGTTTTGGTTTAATTAAAATTTATAATAATTAAACAAAGATATTTTTTATATTTTTATAAATAAATCAGCCAAGATCAGCCAAGATGTTTTTTAATTGAGCTAGAATATTTGCTAACATTTCAGACGTATTTTCGGACGCCCGGCGCTGTTGAAACAAAACCTCATAGATGTCGACTCTATTGATGGCGTGAAACTTATTTCCCTTATTTCCAGTGCTCAAATCCATTATATAATTTAATGATGGGGACTAAATAGGCACCTAAAATGAATATCATATTTGTTGATTAGTTTTAATTTTGTTTCTTATTACAATGCATTAATTTAATTTTTAACTAAAATAGTTTGCTTCAATTTTTTTACCTTAAAAATATAAATATTGTGTGTAAGTGTTAAGGATTTAAAAGGGTAACAAAAGGCTAAAAAATATTTGTTTAATTTTTATCAGATTTTTTGTAAGCATCAATAATCCCCATTTATGTGTTATCTATCATTAGAGTAAAGATTTTTTTCCAATAAAATCTAGGAGTGAAATGTTAACCATTCCCACAAATGGATCGATGGGAAAAAAGGAGTAAATCTCTGAATGCATTTAAAAAGGCTGAAAATACGCCCAGGCGCATAAGCCTTCGGTTTGTATGGAGCCAACAAGTTTGTTAAAATTATCTTCCTTGTTTATCTGACGAGAGAGAAAGAGAGTAAGTAAGAAGAACCCTTTTGCTTTTGCTGCTCGAACATACCCAAACCTTTAGTCCAAAATTACATCGTCGCTTATCAAAAGCCAACATCGCGCGCCGACTGCCGCTTCTTAGAGATGAGCCTCAGATGCTTTTGCTTTTAAAACATTATACAGCGCGCATATTGTCCGCTCACCAGCTCAGCAAAGTCTTTCCTTGGCTCTCTCTCTTGCTTGCGAGAGGGCAAACGCAGCGGAAACCTTTTTAATTAAAACTTAAATGGATTCCGCATAAAATTATACCCACATTGAGAGCCAGTCAAGTTGTAGGACAAAAGAGAAAAACTAAATATTTTAATTTTACTTTATTTGAGATTATTGTTATATTATTTAAAACTAACTTTAATAATCATACTTAATTCGAGCAATTAAAATTATTATTTAAATATTTTGTTGTGTTTTTAAATTTTTATATTTTATGTTTATATAAAGTTTTTGCTATAGTATTAAACTACTAATACGACTTTTAACTGCAATTAAAATTAACACTTAATGGTGTTTGTAAAACTATTTTTAATTCCAGCTTGCGAGATATGCATGGGAATGGATTGTATCATTAGATATATGTCTAACTGTGGTTCAAAGTTTTATTTACATTTTTAGTTAATAATAATGAAATTTAAGACTTAACAAAATCAAAATTTCTTTGCCCAACTTTCATAGCGCTAATTAAATGATGTATTAATTATTCTTGACACTTTATATTTATTGAGCAAGAAGATTAAATCATAAGCGCATAATATTGGATGGTATTTTTCTGTAATATTCAGTATATATTTCAATGAATTGAAAAATTGATGTATTAATTATTGTGAAACGAATATTTCAGAGAGTTAGGGTAGTTTTTGGTGACTTACTCGCCCTCGACACTACTTTTGATTTTGGTCCGCCGCTTTAATGGTTTCACGTGTTGTTTATCGGACAGCGCGGATCTCGAGTCACCGTCTGACGGCGAATGCAGCCTTGCTCGCGGAGAGATGACGCCTCTCGATAACCCTCCCTCGGGTAAGCAGCCGGGCTAAAAACGACCAACGACCACCACCTGGTCTTCTCGTCGTGTGTGTACCATTTATTCTTCATTTGCGACGGATGGGTGACACTCTCGGCCAAAATCAAAACACTCGGCACAACGCTTGCTCTCATTCGGGGCGAATTTTCGTAAACTGAATATCATCGTCGGAGACCAGCGTAAAGAATTAAATTAATCCTGTGAAGACGAAAAGGTGAGACGAAAATCTGTATTGAATATCAAAAAATATTGAACTATACAAAACAAAAACAAACAACACTGGTCAAGCTTTTACATTTTTACTTAATCAATTCATTATAGCAATAAATAGTTCAATTAATAGTTTTTTTAAAATTTGTAATTATTTAAGAAGTGAAGAATAAAAATTTGGCAGTTTTAATATCAATTTTTCCTATGAAAAGAATTTTTTAATTGCTTTTTGTTGACAAGTATAGCTGCTTTATTTTATTTTTATTTTTTTATTTAAATAAGATGGATGAATTCAAAACCATTGGGATAATTAATAAAAAAATATTATGTACTCAGTGAGCTCCAAACACATTCCGAATAGCAATCCCAGCATCCAGTTTGATCGATTGCTGGAATGTGTTTCTTTCTTGTTATTTCTAATTTAGAGGAGGCATTTATTTTAAAGAGAGGATATAGAGTTAATAATTAAAATTGGGACTCGTGTTGGAATGTTCATGGGACACTTCTTCTGGCCTGCTGTCACCTTGGTGGCCGCACGAGGTGAAAATTTTAACAAACACGGCCTGATAACGCAGAGGACATGTCGATTTTCTTGACGCCTCGATGCTTCAAAGTCAAAATAAAGCGGAAAATTGCGCAGAGAGGCGCCGTGTCAGTGAAAAAGGAACACCGTCATTAAAAAGTATTTTATTAAAATAATGTGTCGCTGACCGTAATATGCAGTTATACGACGACGTTTTTTTTAGCTGTAATGATGAAGCGCGTTGTCGCTCAGAAGTGACATGTTCGCCTCACCACTCATTTTTCTTATTCATTTTACACTTAGCTGCTGCTTAAAATTCCAATCTTCATCGCGTTCTATAGAGGCATATTTACCGTGCCAACAATAAATTTTTTTTTTGTCTTTTTTTAAATTGTTGATTTAAATTTTTGTAAAGATAGTAAAATTTGAGTAAAGACTTGTAAAAAAATACAATAATTATTAATTTATTGACCTCCGATTTAAAGCACACAAAAAAGTGTTAATATTTTTTGTAAAGAGTTTTATACTTATTTTTACAATATAAGTTTTGGTTTGAGTTCAACTTGTGACTTCATTCTAAAAAAATAATTTCATTCCTTTTCATTGAACACATTAAAAAACAAACACTCAATTAAACAAATTGATTCGTTGTCAATGTTTTTTTCCTTCGAGTATAGAAAAGGTTTCATCCAGGAAGAAAGAGAAATTTGGTCGTTTTCTTGGTGAGCTTCGGAAAGACAAGATAAATGTTTCAGAAATTATGCAGAAAGGAAACAAATTTAACTTAAGAAGTTATTGAACATTTATTGAATACATATATAAGCTATTTTTATTTCCAAATAAACACGCTTATAGTAATAAAAATTAAGTTATTTTTGAATGCGATTTATTTATTGCAAACTAAATTATAAAAATAAGTGTAATAACTATAAATTTTTACTATAGCCAGTTTTACCTGTTCATATTTTAGAACCTTTAAATCTTTGTGGATTTAGTTTTTTTACTGGTATTCAAACACAAGAGCGAAAGCTAATGAAAAATTGATTTTTTTGCAGATCAAGCTGAACTTTTTGAATCATTTCATTACACTAATTACAATTTATTCCAGCTAAAACTTTGACGCAGAAGAAAATTTTCTCAGCTCTTTTGTGATAAGGATTATTAAAATGAATCGCAGTTTGATAGAAACGGATAAAAGGAGGAGAGGAGAAAAGAGGACGGAGAAGAAAGTTGGTCCCTCGCACTTTTCGGCGGTTTTTCGCGTGTGTGTGCTGCGGGGGTTGCAGTTGCGGAGGCCAGGGGGTGGCTCATGGCTGGCGGGCGGGCGAGCATACCATTCATCAAGCTTATCTGCCGCTACAGGGGTTTCTACCCCTAATCGATCTCCAATCCAAGCGCGCCATCTTTCTTTTTCTCTTTCGCTGGTGCTGAGAAAAAGCGGCGGCGGAGGCACATCTCGCGAGATAGATAAAATTGCAAGACATTTCTTTTGGGATCTCTCTCGCATCTCGGCCGGCGCTCCGATAAGAAAACGCTCTTTCTCGTTCCTCGCCAGGCAATAAAAGTTGCGCCCCTATCGTCGTGCACCCGGCGCGCAATCATCCTATTATGCGAACAGATTATTCGCAGATACATCTCCTTTTTCCAAAGGTGCCCTCGCCATTAGCCTTCTCGCGTGTGATATCTCGGCGCAAAAAGGGTTGATAATTAATTGCGTCCGATCTGGCGGATAATGGGGCTGATTTTATGAATGAACAAAGTTTTGCCTTGAGAATTTATGTATTATGAATGAGAATTGAGAGGGAAATCATTTTATTTATTAGTTAAGATTTCAGATATAATTTATATCCTCCCAGCGAATATTAAAAGATGACGGCACAACACTAAAATTTGAATCGTTCGCCTTTTTTATTATTGAATACATTATTATTTAAAAAAGTAAATTAAATAGCGTATACTTTAAACTGATACTTAGATTTTTATATTTTCCTAAAAATTATAGAGACTGAGTAAATTTTCTGTGATTGTTTTTGTTAAGAGAATTTAAAGTTTTTATTTTTGATTTTAAAGATCTCCTTTTATTAATAAATTAAATGCAATCATATAATTATGTTAACTCCTAAAATACGACAAGTGCTTAAAAAATGTCAATGCATCGTGTATGTGATTTTTTTTGTACCATGATAAATCACCCCAATAAGAAGGTATTATGATCGATTTCCACCCAACCGAGTAATTACAAAATAATGAGAAAACTGAATATCTAACATAAGAATCAATCAATAATTCATTTATTTCGTTTTGATTTAGCTCCTTGTTTAACGCAGTTGGTTCTTATAAGACTGGATCGTTTTACTTTCAGTTCTTTCAGTTTCATTGCCTGCTCTTATTTAAAATAAAGTGACGGACATTGTGTCAAAAACTGTCATCATCTCTGACGAAAGCAGAGTGAACTTTTCAAAATTATTGATATATCAAAAGATTTACCTGGTCTCCAAGTTTTTAAATTACGAGTTCATTGGATAATTCATTGATTGAGCATGAATTGACTGATAAGTATGATTTACAAGAAGTACTTTATAATCTGAAATGTTTAAAAAATAAAGCAAAATTACAACTGGTTATTTAATGCTACAATTTCAACTTATTCAGCTTTGAAGATCTCAATAAAACTGCGTCGTTTTTATGCAAAGTTTTGACGCTTTTCAGAGAAATTCGGCATAAAAATGACAAGCTCGCATTAGCCGAAATGAGAAATGGCTGCTCCTGAAATGTTATTGCCCTCGTTTAATACATCAAGAGCAGAGCTCAAAAGTTTGAGGATAAGATGAAATAGACGCTCGCGCGAGAGAGAGAGAGCCTCAATGTCACTCTAAAAGAGATTGAAATCTGAGATTAGAGACGCAAGGAGTCGCTCGGCAAAACTTTTTGAATGTGACTTTGAAATACATTCGCCAACTGGGTGAGCGCGCGAGCGGCCCAAGAAAATTAATGACGTTCAAGCCGTGTAATAAGAAAGCAAAAGGGAATAAAGACAGAAAAGAGAGAGGGACTCGGATCACAAGTTTAAGAATTATTTTATGTCAGTACACCGAGATAAAATGAAAGTGCTTAATTTATGCTGTAAATTATACAATTAAATCATATTAGATAAAAAATTTAAAATTGAATGTGATTTTTTTTTTCTAATTACAAGAATTTATTATCATTCGCCAGCGCCAATCATAAATTTTTTGCTGCTCTCATGGAATACCCCAAAATTGCCCCTCAGCGTTCATTTCCGCCGCCGTAAAAGGCGAAATTTAAAACAATAATATTCATCTTTGGCGAGACGTTATAAAAAAGTCTTGCTGGGGCGTCCTCTAGTAAATTAATTTTAATCCGCCATAAAAGCGTGGAGGGACAGAGAGCGCGTCGTAAAAGCTGCCAGTTTTTTTCCACATCAGCCTCTATCGTTGCTATCTCTTTCGGAGATGAGATGAGAGGAGAAAGGGATACAAAGGGAGACGTTTTGTGCGGCGGCGGCGGGCGGTGATGACGACGATAGTGCGATACAGAGCATCAGAGAGAGCGCACAATCTCAATAAAGGGCGGAGGCGAGCGATACGATTTGGAGATCTGATGCGGTGGGTGGGTGGTTCTTGTGCACAGCCATCAAAAAGTCGATTCGCTTTATGACCGACTCTCCCTCTATTATAAATACAACATCATTTCCTTGGTAATAACGTCGCCCTGCCCGAATACTAGAGAGAATGAGTAAAAAAAGAAAACGGGACCCAATGTGTAAATCCTAAGAGCACAGAGCAACTTCGCGAATGGGATTATTTACATGGTGACGTGGCTAGTTAAACTAGATTTAATTTTATTAGCATAATTTTTTTTTTAATATTAAGTTTACAAAATATTTTGTTCTTTTTTATTGTATTTTTTTTTATTAATTTTTATATTTAATAACATAATATTATTAATAATCATTTTATATAGTAGTTTTTATAATAATAAAGACATAAAACGATCTCTACCAATATGCATAAAAAACTTTAAATCAACTTAGATAATATTTTATTAAAAGGAATGTGATCAACAGAGTTATCACATTATACATGTTTTTAAACGATTTTTTGGGTGTTCGCTCTTATCTCTTATTATTTGTGACTTTAGTAATAATTAATTGAACAATTTATGCTTTTTTATGTATTATAAAGATAAAATAAATTTTCATTTTGAACGGCAAAGATTTCATTTCAAACAATTTAGTGTGTAGAAGCATGTAAAATACGAATTTCTTATATGTATATTGAGAGTTAACAAAAAATAACGTAAAAAATTATACTTTTGACATTTTTAATGGGATTCGATGTGAAATACTCTCATTTTTGAACAGTTTTAAATTTTGTCAAAATCCTCCTTCTCGCCTAATATTTATTTTGGAAATTTACGTAGAACCGAATGCAGGCTTCCTGACCATAAACATAGGATTCCCACCTCAAATTGTCAGCGAAATCTCATCTCGCAGAGCTAGGCGGAGCGCGAGAGCAAGTGATGCGACGGGGAGGGAAAAGATTTCGCATTAGGGAGTTTAGATGTGTCAAAAATCGCGATGGCGTGTCTGCCAGAGATAAGGAGAGTAAAAAATATGAAATCTATATTCGGTATCGGGGGAGCACCCACGCAGACAGCTATACGCAATTTTGCTCAACCGTGTTTGCTTTGAATTTCAGCCAGGAGGTGCAACGTGCGGAGCCGGGTGGGATTTTCGGAGAGAGACGAGATGATGAGCCATCGAATTATCACATCAAGGGGCGCTCGAACGCGCGCTTATCTGCACCGGCAAATGTGATAGGTGAGCGCGCGAAAAGTAATCGATCAAGTGGAAGGCTTAATAATGCAATCGTTTTGTAATTGCATTTTCATTTTTTTTTTTCACTTTGGACTCAAGAACTTGACGATATCATTGCGGAAAAAACTAGAGATGGGAAAATAGGTGATCAGTTGATCACCCTTTCACCTATTTGTTGGAAATTAAATCAATTAATGTTCTAAAAGAGTAAATATATAATTTTAATTTAAACATTGACAATTTGGAATTACCTAAAAGCACTTTTTGATGAATATTCACCAATTTCACCAATTAAGATTAACATATTTTACACCTGTTTGAGAAGAACCACCTATTTTCACCTAAACTTATACCACTTATTTTGAGATTTTTCTTATTTAATAAGATTTTTATTATTGAACTTTCATTTAAAATTACTTATTTAAAAGAAATATCCTACTTATTAAAATGAAATATAAAAACGCGTAATTATTATATTATACAAATTTTTAAACTAATTTTCACCTTCTTTTTTATACCAAAAATTACATATTTTTACTCGAGCCAAACACCATATGAATTTTTAAATTCATGAATTATTTTTTGAAGCAAGGAGAGGAATTTTACAATTGATATCTTTGGTTTTATTTTAATTAAAATAAAATTCCTGAATAAATTAAACCGTAAACTATTTCTCTTATCTGTTATTGAACAAGTTAATTACTGAGACTTATCATGGGGAAGTGGTATAAAAATTTATGAAACTTCCAAAGTATCACATTAAACGACGGAAATGACTTCCGCTTTCAAACCCGAATCACAACAAAAACAAACCATCAAACAAGAAGAAACCTCCAAGTGCAAACAATCGCGAGCAGGCAACATGAAAAACAAGTGGCTTGTGACGTTACTTGTGCTTGGGGCAGTAGTTTTCGCAGACAGTAAAAAATTTATATTGCAAAAATGTTGTCCTGAACATTACGCTTTAAATTTTACATCGCAAAAGTGCGAAGTTGTCAATAGAAAATTGTCAATCGATTGGGTTCCTGACCAACTAAAAACTCAGCAGGTTACAAATTTAAGGTATTAATTTTTAATCTTTATTTTCCATTTTATTTATAAATTATTTTTAGCCTGTACCAAAAACTGTTGCCGTCTGCTCAAGAATACGATCACTATTACGGACCTTGTCCTGGAATTTTGGCGGACGTACTTCCTCCTGTAAAAATCGAATTGAGCACAAATTTAACTTTCCTCGGCGGTTCAAACTCCATATTTGCCTTCAACCGGACTTACGATCAATGGTGCGTGGACGCAATGCTTGGTGCGTCCAGTCGCAACTGGGTCCTTTTGTCCTGTCCTTGCCTTCACGAAATCTGCATCGCGCAATGTTGCTATCACAAACAAAGACTTCACATCAATAGGTTTTAATTTAATTTTAAATTATTATAACTTCCTGAACTCTTGCGTAAATTTTTAGGGCCTCCGGCAAATCGTTTGTCAAGATATGCAAGGACGAGGGAGCGAACTGGACACCTCGTAATGCGAAAGACCTGAGGCTAATTAAAAATGAGCTGAAGCCGTGGTTCTTCCGCCACTTGACTATTTACGAGGCTATAGGCTCGTGTTTTCACTCTGTGCGCAAAGATTACGCGAAATCGAGAAGGCCGAAGTTGGTCACAAATTTCGAAATCGACGAAATTGGCAGTTTGAAATCTAAAAAGTATATTTTCTTGAATTTTATTTTACTGGAATTGAATAAATAAATTAAAATTAGATACACAGCCAACCGGTGGAGCTATTGCATTGCAGAGGCGACCGTGCAGGGTGAGCTGAGGACCGTGGCCATGTATTGTGACCGCACCGAATTCAACATATCCTTTGATGACGCCATTGTGCAGAGTATTTTGGCAGCGATCGGAGCTGCTTTCACCCTCCTCACCCTGATCATCCACGCGATCAGTAAAGACCTTCGCCAGGGAATCAAAGGTCTGAGCCTCATCGCCCACTGCGCCTGCATGCTCGGCGCCTTCCTCACCATGGCCTTCCGACCTTTAGCTTGGTCTCAGGAAACGGAAACTTGCACGGTGTTAGGTTTAAAACTAACCAAAATTTCTTAAATAAAGTTTAAACAAAACTTTTCCCCAGGCATTTTCACGCACTTTTTTCTACTGTCTTCGTTTTTCTGGTTGAATGTCCGCGCAATCATAATTCAGACAACATTCAGGTGTGTTTAATTTGAGTGCGAAATATGATTTTTAATATCTTGTAAATTTACAAGCAGGTCGTGGGACTCAATGTTAAGCGGCCTATCTCTTCGCAATCGCAGTTTTCCGTTGTATGCAATTTATGCTTTTGGGGTGCCTGCCCTCATCTCGGCATTCATGGCGTGGGCACAGTTCACAGATGACATGAACCTGCCCTTGTGGGTCGTGTGGCCAGATCTTGACGAAGCTTCTTGTTGGTTTAGATGTGAGCTTCAATTAATTGTTTATAATTTGTTGTAAATAATTTTTTAATTTACAGCCTCGTTAGGCCGGGCTCTATACTTTTCCCTTCCTATGGGCATCGTATTGTTGATCAACATTTATCTTTTCATCACGACGGCGGTGAAAATTCGCTCGTTTAAAAAGGAGAACCGAAGAATTCTACAGTCAGATGACAGTAACCGTAGCGACTTGAAAGAAAACCTAAAATTTGACATGGAAAAGTATATTTAAATTAATAAATTAATAGCAAAAATCTAATTTTTAAATAATATTTAGATTGAAACTCTTTGCAAAGTTGTCTCTTTTAATGGGTCTGACTTATATTTCCGAGTTTCTATCATGGTTCAATTATGCCTTTCCGTGGTACTGGTACGCCTCAAATGTTGCGATCGCCTTGCGAGCTTTTCTCATATTTGTTGTCTTCTGCTGCAGGCGAAAGGTATAATTTTCAAACTAAAAAAAAACGCCAAAAGTCTACTAAAATGTTTTTCTGTTTCCTGTGAAGGTCTGGATTTCTTTGAAACGGCAGTACCCATCACTGGAAAAACTTTCATTGCTGGTTCCGGATTTCTCTTGGTGCAGAAAGAAAAACACAGACCAGTTTGAACATCGGGTTTTGGAACATGAGAATACAACGAATGAAACAGACTCAATTAAGTTGAGTGAACTGAAAGATTTTAATTCAAATTAGAGTTTTAAAGACATAAATTCTTAGCAAAATTGACGAACTGAATTTACTGATATTATTTAAAAGCATCAAAAACTCCCCGCAGCAGATATTGGAAAAAAGTTAATTTACTTATAAAATAAAATCTGGCGAATTTCACCTATTTAATTAATTTTACTCTATATTCCGGCGATGTCATAATGAAATTTGTACAGTTTATGGGCGACAAATAATCCATTTAATAATATTTTTTAAGACATTCAACAGTTCATAAACTTTTTGTTTTGATCGGATCTATTATTGAATCTACTTTCAAACTCAGCTTTTGTATTATTAATTAATTTTATCAACACTTTTTGTGCGATAATAATTTATAATCCTTTATAAATTTAAAAGCTTATAAAATTTATTTTCAAATAGGGTCTGCATCGAAATGAGACGTTATCCCGGCTCAAAATTTTGCACAACTTCCCGCGGCGCCCTTCTCCTTTCTTTCGGAATTGTGATTTATGGAATTGGGTGGCTGCGAGCGCTTTATAATGCAAAAACGAGCCCGTTCCGCAGGGGTGGGAGGAGATCGGTTGGTTGGGCTCCTTTTCTATATACACAGCATAATGGTGCGAGCGCAGATAAATCAAGTTTGCGAAGATGACGGCATCTCTCTGTTCGAGGGTGGATAATCACATCATATCAGCCGCCGCCGTCTAACTGCTGCGGCGATGGCATTCAGTCAGATGAGATGAGTTCTCTCCTCCGCTTCCCTTATAGAAGCAGTCACTCGCTTATCAGCCGCCTAACAGATGAATCTGCCAGCACAATAGACCAAAAAGCAGCAGCAGCAGCAGCTCCTCCCTGCCTCCGCCGCTTCATCATCAGGCCCTTTCGAAGCGAGAGTTGATGCTATGTGGAGCGATCCTTATTTGTGCAGCCTCCTTATCGCGGCAGCCGCCAGCATTTTTGGATGCGTGCAGGCCCTATAAATATGAACGGGCACGCTCGTCATTTTTTATTGTGTCAACAGGAGGCATTAACTTTACTACATCTTTTTTCTACCCCGTTTTTACTTTCCTCCGACGCGTGATAAAAATAAGCTTTTATTGTTTTTGCAAATTTTACGGCTGTCATCATCGCGGCCGCCATATTTCTGCTTCTTTATGGCCCCCCGAGTAAAACCGAGTCGAGTTTTTGCCACCCGCGCGTTCTCACTCGTCGCTCCGACGCGCGCGGCCAGATTAGCATTCATGCACACGGGCACAAAGAAACGCTGGTGAGGATTACGGCAGAGCCGACGATATGACGGCGAATTTTTTGCGCACCGTCCGGGAGAGATGTGAATCAAAATTTCTTGTTTCAACTTTTCTTCCAGGAATCAAAAAGTTAAAATTATTCTCGCTTTATTTTGGTATTTTAAAATATTAATAAAATAATTTATTGACTAACAAGTAAGTAAAACATTTAAACAATTAATTTTTGACGTTCAAGTCAATACAATAATTTTTGAATTGCATTCATTCCGATGCATGCAACCCGCTGCGCTTTGCCGTTGTGCTTGGTGCATAACCTAAATCATAAGTTCACTGATTGGAACACGGAGATGATATTTGGATATCGTTCTGCACGTAAACTGAAAATAGTCCAATTTTTGGTCTTGAATTAATAAAAAACAAGTGCTGAATCAGGTATTTCATTAAAAAAGTAAAAAAACTATTAATAAATAAAAATTATTCTGCCAACATTTTGGATTGCTGATGAAAGTGAACATTTAATTTAATTTAATAACTTTTTTAATTGTATTTTAGGTATTAAAAATCGATTTTAAATAAGAAAAAGCAGCACAATTACTTTCCAGTTGGAGACAAAAGACGGGTGAAATTAATGAGCCACTTAGTCCGGAGCAACAAACAAAACTAATTTTTCGCCTGGTGTTCGCGGTCGACAGAGAAAGAATGAAAAAGCAGCAGGGCTCAAAGAGAAGAGGAAGAAGTTTTAAAAGTACGGTCGAGCGCATTAGAGTAATGACATTGCCTGTGTGCATAATAATTCTTCATCATCCTCATTGTGCGGCAAACTTTTAACGACGGCTCTTCTCAGAAGCAAAAGTTTCCACAACGAGATAACTCTGCTGCTGCTGCTGCTTCTTCTTCCCCAAACGAAAACGTGCTCTCTCGTTGGAAAAGCGGCGGCGGTAGGATATGTCAATGTTTCCTCCGCTCGTTCATCCATCTCTTATTAAATATGATGAAAAAGTTTTAGCCGAGACTCACTCGTCGATTGCCGAGCAGATTTGAATACAAATGAACGCCGCGCAGAGCTAGCGAGTGAGCTGCCGATAAAAAGGCGGCTAGGGTGGTGAATGGGAGGACGGCAGGCGGCATTGTCAAGGTTTTTGGCAAGCAGCTCGGCCCGGAAATTATGACACGCGCAGATTGCAGTTTCATCTCCGGCGTTTCCTGTTTTGCCGACGTTCGCCGAACGAACGTTGTGTGTGTTACATTCAGAGCACCATCGCGCCGTAAAGATATTTTCCAAAGTAAATCGCGGCTCGAGGGAAAGTTGATGCTGTGAAAAGCGACGAGAGAAAAGAGATGAGCGATGGGATTTGGCGCTCTCACAATGAAAATGCAGCAGAGGAAGAAACCAAGCTAGAGGTGCGAATGCAGAAAATCCGCCGACGCCGATAACGCGCGGCCATGTTTCTCTCCGAATTGATTCGCCCGAGCAGCCATCAGAGGAAAAAGTGAATTATGGTGCTTTAATGCTGCCTTGTGGAAAATGACGGATTCTTTTCCAACGAGTTTCGAATTGCGTTCAAATGATTGTGGTGCAGAATTATTTCTGTATTTTAGTTTCAAATACAAATAAAAGGGAGAGCAGAGGAAGAGGGTTTTGGGGATCAGGGTGTTTTTTATATAAATTAAAAACTGAAATAATAAAATATCCCAATATTATTATTATTAAGGTGCAGTTCTTATTTTGATGCTGAAAGGCACAATTAATTGATATGACTGTTTAAATTTTTTTTAATTAATTTTATTTTCTGTTCAATTTCTATGTTAGTTAATGCTATGAATTTTGACATTTCCAGTTATTTTATTAGCCCTTTAAAATAGAAGAAAAAATTTAAAGAAAGAGTTAACAAAATTTTTTTATGTGAATTTCAGAAAGAAGTTTTCAAAATTATCCTTTATAAACGTTTAAACATTAGTCCGTGGAGGACCATCAAAAATAAAAGGCCGACGTGAAGTTGTTGTTAAAATCGGATGAAAGGTTGGTCTATGAACAGGGCCAACATTTGCTTGATGTCCTTTTGATGGTTTTTTATCTATTCCGTCGGATTTCGTAGAGTCATCAGTTATGGGCGATAAATGAGGCTGAGGTTGACGCATATCCTTGGAGCTGCTGGGTTCCGTGGAAAATGACATACATGCCTGCTGACGGTTTTTATGCCTTGCTAAAACTTGAAGAATGAAAATCTTTAGTCGGTTAACACGAAGAGGAACTTGATTATTTATCTAAATTTAAATATTTTAATTTTTTTTAAGTAAAAATAACGACAATTTTCTTTCTCTCAGTTTCTTTTTTACAAGAATACACTTCACTCTAAGGAAACATATATGTAATAAAAATGAAAAAAAAAAAAAAATCAAAATCACTCAGGGATTAAAAAAAATTATTTGGGGAATATAGATGAAAATATAATAAATCTTACTAGTATATAAAGTATTTTAAATTACGTTACCTGGTTGACAATGTGCAAAACTTGCTGCAAAGAAGATGAGCACGGCTGCTAAGAACCGCATGTTTCGGCCGCTGAAGCCAAACTGATTTGGCCAAATCATAAACCTCACCGTCGATGACTCGTCTCGGAACCAACTACACAAGTTTTTCTGTGAAGGTCATCTTCTCTTCAGGATGCTGGGGTCAAACGACAAACTATCATTGCGGCACTAATAAATGCAAAAGGTGCCCCGTAAATTACATAAAGCTAGTGACAGAGAGCGTATGTACGTAAATTTATAATGTAGAAAACCTTGAAGGTTTCCTAAATTTAATTTCTTCAATAATTTACCCAAGCTAGCATTAAATTGTTTTAAAGAGCTATAGAAATGCAACGTATTTCATTCCAATAAAAATATAATTCATTGAATTATTTATCAATTCTCCTCTGCATCATTAATTATGTTCATTATATTGTTTTATTTCATATAATTTTGTTAAAAATCAATATTCAAGTTCTAAGCCGGCTACATGTTTACTGTTTCCTAAAGTTTATGCCTGCGTATACAAATGAAAAAGTTTTTCTTTAACATTTGTCAAATTAATCAAATATTTTTCTTCTTATTTGCATTGGAGAAATTCAAAACGATCAATTTCACCAAGAAAGAGCTGAAAACTTTTTCTATTTATTCGGATAGACCGTTAGTGGCAGAAGCATCGTTGACGAACAATCAAGCTGCTGCCCCGGCCGCGAGCACACAAACAAAACAAGCAAAGGGAAATGGGCCAAAGTGTTAGGGGTAAGTTGTTTCATCGCAAAATGTGGAAGGGTTAATACACACGGTTGCACTTGCACCCAACTCTCGGATGTCTGGACTGGGCCTTCGAGCAGGGGCGAACTTGCGGGCTCCGGGGCGCCCCCGACAGCCTCCGAGGGCAGGTCCTCGTGTGGTGAGGCCAGTGTATGCATGCATGCGTCTGCGTTAGATAAGCATCGTTCAAAGAGAGCCTACTGCACCTTATCTAGATGATCCTCTCGCACAGCTCACAAAAAAGAGAGACACACACTGCACTCCCTTGTATTATACGGCGTAGGTGGTGCAGGGGTGTATGTCAGGGGCGGATGCTGGGGACGCATAAACGTAAATTTCTGATCATATTGTATCTGTTCAATGCTCTAAATTTTTTTACAATTTCTACTTTTTCTGGCTAAAGTGTTATAAATGGGGAATTTAAATGGATTTTCAATGAAATTGGAGTCTTAAATCACTTTTTTTTTTAGATATAAATAAAAAAAATTAAAACGTTTGTTTTTCAGACGAAAATCATAGAAAATAAAACTCAATTATACTTTGTTCTTCAAATTAAGTTGACTAATAAAGCTTATTGGAAG